GCCCCCCCCGGCGGGGGGGCCCCGGCCGAGGGCCGCCCTGCCCTGCCCTGCCCTGCCCCGCAGCCCCGGGCACCCTAAGGAGCAAGGGCCGGGCAGCGCCCCCCGGGCAGCCTTGTGCTGCAGCAGGGAGCAGGGCCTGGCAAGGGTGCGTTGGGGCGCCAGCTCTCCCGAGAGCAGCCCCAGAGCCCCCCGTCCTGCCCTGCCCCAGCAGGAGCACCGCGCTAGGATTTTTCCGTAGTGAAAAAAAGCAAAAAACAATCCCCGTCGAGCTGCATTTTCCAAGGGGGCTTGAGTCTAAAACCCGTGGGAGCGAGCCGGGCGCTGCCCCCCGCCCGCGTCAGTAAAGCATACCCGCCCCCTGTAATCCGTGTCGCTGCCTCTCTCGGCGCCGCGGTCCCTTTAAGAGGCGGGGCCGCTCCCGCCCGATTGCGGAAGTCAGTGGGGCGCAGAGCGCTCCATCCCCGCAGGGTGGGGCTGTGGTGGGGGGGCGCTGCTGCTCGGCCCTTGCCCCCGGCAATGAATGAAGTCGAGTCTCGCGGGGCGACAAGCGAGCGGCGCATGGAGCGGAGGGGCAGCCCATTGCCTCTAGCGGGGCCTGGCCGGACGCCCAGAAGTTTAGGGCTGGAAGGGGCCTCGTGGGATCATCGGGTCTAGCCCCACTGCTCTCTCCTGCCGAGTCTTCCCTGCCAGCCCGCAGTGCCTGGTAGGGCTCCGGGCGCTGGGTCCGCTTGGGGGAGGCAGGGGTGTCGTGTGTGCGCACGCCTGTGTTCGCCCTGGCTGAGAAGCAGGGGCGGCCCAGACGTGTGGTCCCAAAGCAGCAGCTTCACTTGATGCACAGATGGTGAATGAGGCGTTCTGCAGAACGCGAGGGTGGCAACCCTGCTCAGACTATAGACCACGTAACACTCTGCCCTCTGTACAAATTTGATCATGATATTGCAGAGATGCATTCCTTTTCCTCAGGAGTACTGGACTGGTTAACCTTAAACTGGATTTTATAATTGTTGCTCCAAGTCACCCATATGAAAGAGAGAGCAGTTTCCTGTGCTGAAAGGTACAGACCTAGCAATGGGGTGTTTCTTGCTGCCCTGTGACCAGGATCCATGTAAATCTTGCCTTTCAACAACCAACCCCTGAGTTGTTCCACTTCACCTGGGTTGTACTGCTTGTCAGCACCTGTCTTAAGTGTCTGCCCTCCCTCCAGGATGATGACTGCCTGGTGCTGTACTGCCAGGATTTACCTTACCAGCTTAAGGTCCCTTACTGTTAGGAAAAGCTTGGCCTGTCTGAGATGGGGTAGACCTGGCACATTCCCACTTGACGAAAAACTTAGCTGCTTTAAAACTCAGCTCTTGGCCAAGACCACTCTGGCATGCTGGGGAATCACAGAGCTGTCACTTGGTGCGAAGTGCCAGGAAGCTCCAAATAAATGTACCCAAATAAAAGGGGCCTTACTCTCCAAGCCTGTTGGAGAGAAGCCTTCAGGTGGATTCTTCTGGCATCTTGGTTTTTCCTTTCGCCTGGGACTCCGGGCTTGTGTTCTCTTGTTGAAGTTTGGCCCCCTGATTCTGCTTTATCCCTGGACCTACCTGTCTTCAGGTTTCACATCTCTCTGGCTTCAACTTCTGCTCAAAGCCACAGAGTCCTCAGGCCCCACCTTTATCAAACTGGGTCAGTGGGCCAGCACCAGGAGGGATCTCTTCTCTGAAGAGTTCTGCGCAAAGTTTTCCAAGCTTCATGTAAAGGTAAGCTCTCATCCCTGGGGTCACACCAAGCAGGCACTTTGGAGAGCATTTGGGGAAAACTGGAAGAAAGTCCTCAAGTTTAAAAGTAAGGAACCTATTGGCTCTGGCTGTGTTGCCCAGGTATATAAAGCATATGTTGATGCCACTGCTATTGATGATCCACAGTTTGAAGAACTAGTCAGGAGCTCTGAATCAGAATCGGCTCTGGAAGCCTGGGAGGTATCTGGATTTCAGGGCATCTTCAGGTGGTGCTGGAAGAAGTGTGGAAAGATGCTGAAAGAAAGCAATGCAGAGCAGCTGCTTCAGGACAGTTCTCATGGAGACACTAGTAGGACTGCTACCTCTAAGAAGTCGGTGACTGGATCTCAGCTGACTACCAACACCTTACCCCCTGTTGATAGTTCCAAGGAGATGGCTCACTTTATTCCTGTAGCCATAAAAGTAAGTGATGTGTGTTACTGGTGGATGCCTGGGATGAGAGATGAGACTGTCAGATGGTTTATAGTGTAGGTGCTGCTCAGCCTCTCCTCTCAAACTGCATTTCTAGCACTCTTCAGTCCCAGCTTGTTATACCATTTACCACAAAACTCATCAAATGATCCTGACCTGCAAAAATCCTCGCCGTTGAACTTCTGGTGCTCCCTGGTATGCAGATCACCAGTGATGCCATTTGGTGTGGTGTTCACATAACAAATCTCAGTAATGTGACCTCATTTATGTAAACACAATGCACTGAACTAGACTTCATCCATGGTCAAGAATGGCCCACCAGATTAGCCAGCCGTACTGTGCCTCTTATACAGTGAAATTATATATCAGAAAAGAAAAAAAATCTGTTTTAGCTCAACTTAGTTACCAGGATTAAAGCAGGCAAGAATTAAAAAACTTCATGAGGCTGTGGCTCTAAATTGCTTGGAATGATTCACTTCAGCAATTATTCGTATCTTAAAGCATGGATTGATGGGAAAGGTGGATTGTTTGCTAGATCTAACAACTCTGTTAGGCTCTGGACAAACCCCTACCCCACTAAAATTTAGTTAATTTTGTCTTATTGTGCTTTACCATTAGGTGAGGTTGGAGGTTAAAATAGCATGACTACCCTGGGATGAATGTGGATGGACAGCACCTAAAGTGGTGCAATTTACACTCCTTCATTTTTACTCTCAGTTCTTTCAGGGATAATTCTGCAACAGATTGAAAGACTTCATCCCAATTTAGGGACTTGTCTAATCCACAGCCTTTCTCTTTCCATACACCAGTGTAAAGGGCATTTCTGCCTGGGTTGCGACTGCTCCATTGTAGCTCACTAAAATGGACCAATTTTCTCACAGTATTCTGGGAAATTATTTAGTTAAAATGTTTTCATTCAGGTCCTGCATCCTGGACTAGTCCATCAGGTCCAGATGGATCTGTTCCTGATGAAGATGGGCAGCCAGATCATTGAGCTTCTCCCTGGATTCAAGTGGCTCAGCTTGACTGAAATATTGGAGGAGTTTGAGAAGCTTATGATTTACCAGGTAGGCATAATTCCACCCTCTTCATACACTGAAACAGAGATGCTCCCTCCTTTGTCATATATCTACCTATTCCTTAACTGCTCCCTGCCATTGGAGTGTTCAGCATTACTGCATTAATTAACTGCTACCTGCCATTGGAGTGTTCAGCATTACTGCATTCTGGTGGCTAACTCCACTGACAATACTAGATCATAGAAACATACAAAATTAGGGTTGGAAGGGACCTAAGGAGGTCATCTAATCCAACCCCCTGCTCAAAGCAATACCATCCCCATTAGATCATCCCAACCAAGGCTTTGTTCTGTCATCTGTCACCACTGAGAACAGTAATCTTTGGACTGTTTGGACCTCCACTGAGGCTCCCTCCTCTTTGGAACGCCCCCTTCAGGTAGTTGAAGGCTGCTATTAAATCTGCTCTCAGTCTCCTCTTCTCTAGACTAAATAAGCTCCGTTCTCTCAGCCTCTCTTAAGAAGTCATGTCCCCCAGTTCTCTAACCATTTTTGTTGCCCTCCACTGGATTGTCTCCAATTTGTCCGTATTTCTGAAGTGAGGAGCCCAAAACTGGACACAATGCTCCAGATGTGGTCTCACCAGTGCTGAATAGAGGGGAGGAATCACTTCCCTTGATCTGCTGGCAACCCAGCTACCAATGCAGCCCAGTATGCTGTTAGGCTTCTTGGCAACAAGGGCACACTGCTGGCTCAGATTCAGCTTATTGTCCATTGTAACCCCCAGGTCTTTTTCTGCAGAGATGCTGCTTAGCCAGTCAGCCCCCAGCCTGTATTGGTATATGGGATACTTCTGTCCTCAGTGCAGGACTTTGCACTTGTCCTTATTGAACCTCATGAGGCTTCTTTTGGTCCAGTCCTCCAACTTGTCTAGGTCTCTCTGAATCCTAACCCTCCCCTCCAGCATATCTACTACTCCCCCCAGCTTGGTGTCATCTGCAAACTTGCTGAGGGTGCACTCTATGCCATCTTCCAGGTCATTGATGAAGATACTGAACACAACCAGCCCCAGAACCAACCCCTGGGACACTCCACTCAATACTGGCTGCCAACTAGACATCAAGCCATTGACTACTACCTTCTGAGCCTGATGAAGCCAGTTTTCTATCCACCTTACAGTCCATTCATCCAACCCATACTTCCTTAGTCTGCTTGTGAGAATGGTGTTGGAAGACTGCTTCAGAAGCCTTGCTAAAGTCAAGGTATACCACATCCACTGGTCTCCCCACATCCACAGAGCCAGTTATCTCATCATAGAAGGCAATCAGGTTGGTCAGGCATGACTTGGCCTTTGTGAATGCATGCTGACTGCTCTTAATCACCTTCTTCTCTTTCAAGTGCTTAGAAATGGATTTCTTGAGGATCTGCCCCTTGATCTTTTCAGCGACACAGGTGAGGCTGACCAGTCAGTAGTTCCTTGGAACCTCTTTTTCCCTTTCTTAAAGATGAGCACTATATTTGCCCTTTCCCACTCACCTGGGACCTCTCCCAATCGCCATGAGTTTTCAAAGATGATGGCCAGTGGCTCTGCAATCTCATCAGTCAACTCCTCCATACCCTTGGGTGCATCCCATCCAGCCCCATGGACTTGTATATGTCCAGCTTTTCTAAATAGTCCCTAACCTGTTCTTTTGCCACAGTTGGCTGCTCACCTCCTCCCCAAACTGACTTTGCCTGTGAAGACTGAGGTGAAAAAGGCATTGACTACGTCAGCCTTTTCTGCATCTTCTGTCACTAAGGTGCCTCTCCCATTTAGTAAGGGATCCACACTTTCCCCGATCTTCCCCTTATTGCTGCCATACTTCTAGAAACCCTTCTTGTTATCTTTCATGTCCCTTGTTAGCTGCAACTCTAATTGTGTTTTGGCCTGCCTGACTTCATCCCTGCATGCCTGAGCTATACTCGTACTCCTCCCTAGTTATTTGTCCAAGTTTCCACTCCTTGTAAATTTCCTTTTTGTGATTTAGCCTACTGAGAAGTTCCCTGTTCAGCCAAGCTGGTCTTCTCCCATACTTACTACTCTTCCTGCACATTGGGATGGTTTGTTCCTGCACTCTCAGTAAGGCTTCTTTAAAGTATATCCAGCTCTCTTGGACTACTCTCCCCCTCAGACTGGCTTTCCAGGGGATCCTGCCCATGAATCCCTGAGTGAGTCTGTCTGCTTTTCTGAAGTCCAGAGTCCTTACTCCACTGCACTTCTTCCTTTCCTCAGGATCCTGAACTCAGTCATCTTGCAGTCACTGCAAGATGGTGCCATCTACTGCTACATTCCCCACCAATTCTTCCATGTTTGTGAACAGCAGGTCAAGAAGAGCATGGCCTCTAGTTGGCTGCTCCAGAACTTGTATCAGGAAGTTGACCCTAACACTCTCCAGAAACTAAATATGCCAGGGAAATATGCCAGGGAATTGTTCAGCCCTAAGTTTATAATGGCATCTACTCTGAGGGACCCTGAGAACTGAAAGAATAGTCAGGACTGGAACAGTATCAGACAGGCCAGTCCTCAATTCCTTTATAAAGTACAGGGAGGAAAAACCCCTGGACAGGGAAAGAAAGCTGACCTAAGAGATGCACCATCTGTTCTTTTTTTTTTCATTGAGATCCTTGTTTTCAGCTAGTTTTCTGGTTGACTGGGCTTTGTAGGAGTAAGTTGTAAATCAGTGAGATTATATTTCATGCAGGAACCTCAGTGAATTCCCATCCCTTTAATACTAGGCACATAGATTACATGGCCTTCTCTCGCTTTCCAGACAGACCTACGCTACGAAGCTAAAAACTTGGAGCGCTTCCAACAAAATTTCCTGGACATGGATTTTGTGAAGTTCCCAACTCCCCTTCGCCCCTTTGTGACAAGAAACATCCTGATGGAAACATTTGAGGTAAGAGTACAGCTTCTGGGTGAAGGGGGGTACTGGTGTTGGCATTCCCACTCCCGTCATGTATTCCCAACTCAACACAAAGTTCCTGTCTAGAGGTGGCATTGAGCTTTTCAGTGGAACAGCTCTCCTGTGACCCTCCCGTCCTTTTCTAGAGAAGACAAGTAAGAGAGTACCTCTTTCTGTTGTTTGCTTGCATGCAACTGAGCCCTTACTTGCTTTTTTTTTTCTTCTTTTCTATTGTCAAGGTTCCCGGGAGCAGGGGGCAGACATAGTCCTAGCTTAGAAGAGAAAAGGGCACTGGGCCTTGGGTACCAGAATAAAACCAGTACTGCCATCCAGCAGCCCTAGGTTTTTCCTACTTCCAGACTAAAGTCTTCTTCCTCTCCTGCTGTTGAACAGGTAGATGGTTCAGACCTATAACTTGGTCCAGTCCATAGAAACAAGTATAGCTAGGTTTGTTCAGACCACTTTCAGTCACCATTAGCTTTAGTCAGCATGTCAGTTGTGACCGGAGTATCTCTTGCCTGCAAGTCCTTCACATCTTTTTTGCAGACCCTTCCTTCTGCAGCCCCTCTTTAAGCCATCTCTTAGGTCAGCTTTGCTTCCAAAAGACCAGCCTAGCACCTCCTTTCAGCTCATAGAGGCCCCTGTACTATGTAAGTTATTCTCTTAATCATTTTCTTGTATCTGGTCTTCATCCTGTTTGGCTGTCTGGTCTGCTCGGGTCACTGCTAGGTCCTATCACTCTTTGGGTTCCTATCCAACCTTTCCTTTGTTGTACACAGCCTATAGAGGTTCCTGTCCCAAATGCCTTCCCGAGTTCACCAGCAACAGTAAATACAGTCTGCATTGACTGAGCCCCCTTTGCAGCATTTTGCCCTCCCAAGGGTGAGAGTATATGACTCTGGATTGTATGGATGGGGAAGGGGCACATGGGATCTGTTTGCGTCTTGCTTTCTTTAAGGAGAGTGAACCCATCTCCCAGTATCTGCACACAGAGGTTGACCCTGAGCTGAGGCAGAGAATTGCAAAGATGGGTATGGATATGCTCCTAAAGATGGTAAGAATCTGGGTTGTCTTGAACTGAAGAGGTGGCTGGGGAGTGGCATTGGAACCTCTGTTAAAATCATGTAATTGGCTTTGGGTGGATGTGGCTAAAGAGGAACCCACCTGCTTTCTTCCATGACATCACTGGGTTTCTAGGAGCCAATGAAAACAGTGGATGTTAGGGACCTGTTGGTACCATGAAATCCAGGATGTCAGGGTGCTGTGCCACTCTGCACTAAATGAAAGCAAATGAATATGTGCATGTTAAATGCAAGATCCAGGCAGAACGCGGACTGGGTGCTTGTACCACAGGCACTCTGACACAGATCCTCTTCCATAATGAAGGGGCGTCCCTTCAGCATGTGGCAGGTGCACCAGCTGTAACTCAGCAGGTATGTTGCTTTGGGAAACCACAGAATCACATTAATTAATGTTTACCCTTCACCTTAAATCTGTAAAGCAAAATATGCACCTACTATTTCTGCAGAAGTTACGGAAAGATTCAAAGCCACAGGGAAATCTGCTAAACTTCTAGTTTCATTTATCAAAAACACCTGCTGCTGCCATTTTAAGGCAGGTAGAAGACTAAATCTGATGTTGCTTTGGGCAACCACAGAATCACATTAATTAATGTTTACCCTTCACCTTAAATCTGTAAAGCAAAATATGCACCTACTATTTCTGCAGAAGTTACGGAAAGATTCAAAGCCACAGGGAAATCTGCTAAACTTCTAGTTTCATTTATCAAAAACACCTGCTGCTGCCATTTTAAGGCAGGTAGAAGACTAAATCTGGAGCAGAGAAAATGAATCTAGCCAGCTCTTGCTTGTAATTCAACTTACTTTCCTTGGTTTTATGCTGAATTGTATTGTAGTTATTAGCTCAGCCTAGCCTTTGCTGTCCTAACTGGTGGGAATTGGCAAAGAGAAGCCTGTTTCTATCCGGTTAGGACTTGTTTTCATACCACTGAAAACAAGCTCTCTCTGACCCATAGCTATCCTTGACCTGTAGTATACCTTTGCCCTTGCACCTAGTGCTTTACCAACAGTGCTCCAACCTCAAGCACTTGTCTCAGGAGCTGGAGAGACTCAAAGTACCAGTCTGTAGTGGTTTTGTGATAAGAGTCAGTGTACCAAGGGGACAAGATTGGAAACCACCTAACTAATGCCACGTACCATCTAGCTTGGTTTTGAACCCTGGCCCCCCACTATAGAAAGTTTTATTTGAATTACATTGCCATTCTTTTTATGTCATACCTCTTCTCCCTCCTCCAGGTGTTTATTGATAATTTTGTCCATGCTGACTTACATCCTGGAAACATACTGGTCCAGGGTGCAAAGCATTTCGGTGCTACCCGCAGGGATCAAACCACCATTGTGGATGTGTGTGACACGCTCATCGTAGAAGTGCGACCTTCCCTTTGTCAGCTCCGTCTGGTGCTGCTGGATGCAGGGGTTGTGGCAGAGCTGCAGGAAGCTGATCTGCAGAACTTCAGGGCAGTTTTCACTGCTGTGGCACAGGGACAGGTGAGGCCTGCTTTGCCAGGGGAGGGACTTTAGATTCTTGAAGCTCATCTTGGTGGGGCGAAAAGCAGCACTGGAGGGTCTCATGATCTTGGAGCTGACTGTAGTCTGCTTTTTTTCAGTTGCCCATGCGAGTCCCATTATGGTTTCCTAGGAGGAGGGGAGGAGGAAGGTGACTACCTCTTGCACATTCGCTGTCTCTTGTAAATCATATCAAGCACAAAAACAAAAATGCTGGCGAGAAGGAAGTAGGTTACCCTGGTCTGTTGTGAGCGAGTTTAACTAGCCCAGAAGAATGAAGGGCTGGATTTAGAGGCCAGGGGATGGCTGCTATTCCCTGGGTTAAGGTTACCAAGCATGGGCCCAAGTGTGGCTTGCTTGGGAGTAGCTTTTGTGCTTGATGTAAAGCCTGCAGAATGTTGCTGGAACAGCTGATCAGCTGCAGTGGAGCTTTCCTATACTGAGCTTGTTGCATTTGTCCAAGGCAGTCGCAAATAGGTGACTCCAGCCACAGGTGTGGGAAAGAGTATTGCCAGACTGGCAGGCACAGAATGTATTGTAAACATGCAGTAAAAAGTATAAAGGCACTGGCATTAGCAAATCCAACGCATGCATATGTCTCACAACATCCATCCTTCCACACCCTGCACTAGAAACACCCACAGCACACTGACCCTCCCTCTTCTCCCACTGGGAACTGTGGAGAGCAACCAGCAAGGAAAGCAGCTGATCTGTCTCTGCCAGATTTCCACCAGGTGAGAGTTCTTTGGTGCAGGGGGAATTCTACAGTGGCCACCTCCAGCTACTTCCAGTCTCCTTTGTACTACTGACCCCTCCAGTTTGCTGAAAAAACAGGTGCAGCACTCACCATGTCCTGCTACTGTGTCTCAGCTCTGAGCAGGACAGCCCACCCATAGGCAAGTAGTTAAACTCCATTGCTGGCAGTCATTGCCAACCACAGTAAATACTCTAGTAACCTAGTCAACATTTATACTGAGATCAACAAAAAAAACTTACTTCAAATGCTGAGCAGCCTTACAATGAAACTGTTTTCAGTTACTAGGAGCACAAACAGCTATTGAACTAATGACCTACAGGTGACCAGCTTTTACACTGTCTCCTCACCAAACCTTGGATTAAGTGTCATGGCCCTGCTGTCCCTTTAAATTAGTTCCATGCAGCTCTGCTAGACTGACCATAAAGCCCCTCAGATAAAACCTGGAAAACCTTCACAAGAAAACCTCCTTTTCTGCCCAGGCAGAGGTAGAAATCTGCTGGGTGGGCAGGGTGGGGGGAGGAGAAACGGAATTATCTTACTGTTCCTCCACAGTTTAGAAAGAGAATTTCATTCATTCTAGCCTGGGAGATGGCAGCCAACAACTCTCTTCTCACCAGCACCAATGTCTTGGCATCCCAATTGTGAGGGAAAAGACAGAATACATGCTCCCTGCCTTCCCAGAATGTGCCCAGATGAATTGCAAAGGGATTCCTGCTTCACTCTGCACTATAAGATGTTGTCAGGAGGAACAGGTCCTTAGAAGGAACAGTATCCTGGGCTGGTCTCAGACACCAGGGGTTATGCTGCAGCCATTTCGGCTCTGTCTTCATTCATCTTTTGTTACATCTTAAGTCTCTGCCTCAGAACTCTAGAAACAGGGTAACTTAACCTTCCAGCTCTCCATCTCACCCAGCTCTAAAAGGCATATATACCCTGTTTCAGGAAGCAGTTGAATGGCTGCAGCTGTCTGGAAGTCCTACAGTAGGAGCACTGTATAGCTACATGCAAGCTTGGTGGTATTACCAAGGCCTGGTTCTGTTCCACACGTTTCCTTTAACTTGATTCACAGGGGGAGAGAGTGGGAGAGTTGATCCTTCACCATGCTCGGGCTAACCAGTGTAAGGACATAGAGAGATTCAAAGCTGAAATGGCAGAGCTGGTGACCAAGGCCAGGATGAACACCATAGCCCTGGGAAAGGTGAGCAAACTAATGATGGTATCCAGCTCATAACAACCTGTTATTGACTGCATCTGCCTCTTTAGACTAGCCCAGCTTGAAAGGCCAGCCATTTAACTACCAGTTAATTCATCAGTCACCTCCCTTGCCAGCGTTACCAAATCCCTCAACTCTAGTTTCACAGCAGGAGAAAAATGTCATTAAGGTCCCTGATCTTCTTCTTTCCTTCTAATTGGGATAGGGTTGGCTCTTGGGGGTCCTTCACTTGCTGGAGCCTTGAGGTTCACATCATAGCCTGCATCCTGTTGACTCCCTTTGAAGTCCACAGTAATGCTCCAGAGGGGCTGCTGTTGAACAGAGGTGTGTTTCTGCTGACCAAAGGGACTGCATGTACTCTCCTCAGCTTTCCCAGCATCTTCCTGGGTTGAGGAGTGAAGACTGGGTTGAGGAGTGTTAGAAAGGTGGAGTTGCATCTGTCACTCTCTGTATTGCTTACCACCAGGGAATGATACCAGCTTTTATGACTGTGACTGTCAGTTAAGCACAGGAATATTGTGCAATAAGCACCATGTAATGAAATCTAACATTTAAGTTTGTAGACACTGAATTGATCAGGCAGATTCCTTCTAGCTTACTGCCTGTGGTGAGTCACTGCCATTCTGGCTGATACTGGTTTTCATGATCTCCTGCCAGCCAAGGTAACTTTTATTTTTTCAACTTCATATTCCAGCTTCAAGTAGCAAATCTGCTTTCCAACGTCTTTAAGTTACTGATGACCCACAAGGTGAGGCTCTCTTTGTTCCCTTCATTGCATGCTTTGATGTTTGAAAGAAGCACATCTGGGGAGGAGAGTGATTGGGATGATAAAGGCCTGAGGCAAGGCAGGGAGTATCTAAAATATGTGGGGTCAAGGTGGGTGGGGCTGCATGTGCTGTATTTCCAAGCAGTACAGGCAGAGGTGCTTCTCTGGACTGGAACCAAGCCCACTAAAACCATTGGGAGTTGCTCCCATCCTTTCAGTGGGCTGTATATCATCAGGGCCTTTCAGTATTTTGTGTTTAAAGATTGATACCAGCTCATACAGGGAGAGGATCAGAATCTCATTTATATTTTCCCTTCCTGTCCATAGCCTTTTCAGAAGCTTGAGATTAAAATATTCTCGTGCACTTGGAATTACTTGCTTTCTTCCACGTGCTCATTGCTCTCCTGCTGTAGGGTGACCAAAGGAGTGCTGGGCTCCACTTGCTGGGGTATCAGGTGATGAGATGCTCATGCTGCCTTTAGAGATGAATAAAATCTCCCTTTGTTATAGGAAGTCACTTCATGGGACAGACCCTTGGCTGGTGTAAATTGGCATAATGCTGCTGAAGTCAGTAGAGCCACCACAGTTTCCACCATCAGAGGATCTGCCTCATGTGCTTTGCAAGGAGCAGATCAAAAGACTGTAGAATATCTCATAAACTCCCTGTTTCTGTCTATTGTATGGTAGATGCCTTTAACCTTCAGTAACATTAAACATTATTAAAACCCTCCTGCTCCCTACTCAGTCTATACACAATACCCTGTGAATGGTGGAACTTACATCAGTTTTGTTATATGGCCAAGGGGTAAGATGTAGGCAGCCTGTATGTGAAGTAGGTTCTGCTTCTCCTGTGAACTGTGAAGCTGTGCTCCCTGGGACTCCATCTGCAGCATGGGGAAGGGAGAGGAGAGGGGGGGAAGAGAGGGGGAGCAAATTCCCTTTCCTTTGCAAATATGCATTCATGGGCCAGGGATGCTTCTGCAGCCTTGCAACTGCAGGCAGAGGCTGGCGCTTCTAGGGCCCATGACCAAAGGGAGGAAACATGCTGCTCTCCTAAATAAAGAAAAGCACTGACACCTAGGCTGGCCTTGCACAGTCCTTTGAAAGTGCCTGCTTCTCCTCAGACCTCCTGCTG